TTCCTTTCCTTTCCTTTCCTTTCCTTTCCTTTCCTTTCCTTTCCTTTTCTTTCCTTTCTCTTCCTTCCTTTCCTCCTTCCTCCCTCCCTCCCTTCTTTTTTCCTTCCTTTGGAGACAAGATCTCTTTATTAAGTAGGCTTAGTTTTCCTAGAAATTGATATGTAGACAAGGCTGGCCTCAAATTTAGAGATTCTCCTACTGGGATCTATGCATCATCACAACCAGTGGTTGTCGTTTCTTCATGACTTTAGTCTGTGACTGAACGGTAACCAGCCTTTTCCTTTTATGTATTTGGAGAAAGACCTCTTTCTTGTAATGTGGCTACTTCCTGTATTTGTGTGTCCCTCTTTTCTATTTCCCCTCTTTAGTACTTCTTTAGTAGTGGGTTGCTGCAGATTTCTCTCAGTTGTTTTGTTTTGTTTGTTTTTTGAGACACTGTCTCACTATTTAGTCCTGGCTGGCCTGGAACTTGCCATGGGACCTTGAACTCTGATAGCTCTACCTGCTTCTGCCTCCCCATTGTGGGGACTAAAAGTATGCACTACACTCTGTTCTCTCTTCTGTTTGAAGGTCATCTGTCTGTGTGCAGGAATCACAGTAGGAAGAGGCCTTCATTCAGGGCTTCCTCTAACCTGCTGTTAGACATTTACTGAGTTCTTCACTTCAGTTATTGCTTTTGTTCAGTCCTTGGGTTTATAGACTTTTAAGGTTTTCTAGTTCTTTACTAAGAATTTCTATCTTATCATTTATTAACTTCAGTCTCTTTTTTTCAGTGCTAAGGATGAAACAGAACCTTGTATGTGCTAGGCAAGTACTCTATCACCAATCCTCATCCTTGGCCCTAATAACTTCCAAATTTTAATAATAAATTAAAATTGAAAACTATGGTAATTGGGCCTCATCTGTTTCTCCTTTAGGTCTCTCAAAATTATTTCTACTTTGTCATAGTTCTGAGCCAATTCTTTTTGTGAGCCGTATTCTGATTGAATATTCTAGACAGACAAAGTTCTAGAGGTGATCTGAGACTCTGTTGCCACTTTAGAATTGTTCTTGAGTGTTACAGCACCCCCCCCCCCACACACACACATTTAGCAGGTCATTTAGGGCTAAAGCAGACCACCTTAATTTAAAGAGCCTCAGTTGAAATGAAGTTTGTCTCTAGGTGTCTCAGGGACTAATCTATCTTTGTCTCACCATTCTTTCTAAAGTGTGGTGGTTTGGGGGTTCAGTGGAATGATCTGCTTCTTAGTAGATTCTGTTTGTAGACCAACCTGGCCTCAAACTCACAGAGATCCACCTGGTTCTGCTTCCTGGGTGCTGGGATTAAAGACATGTGCCACCATGCCCAGGCCTCAGTAGCTTCTGAAGTCTAATTTATCCCCACTCTTCAGAAGATTCACATGGGAGATACTGAAAATCCATTCTCCCAAACCCATGGAGATACTAAAAGCTCATCAATGTATTTCTACTACATTATGTACTCTTTAGGAATCCTTCCCAGTAAAGGATTATGATTACACTAATCCATTAATGGCATTATTGTTCAATGTAGAACTATAGAAGGAAATACTCCCTTATTTTCTAGAGTAACAATAATACAATTTTTAAATTAACTGGTAATACTTGTAAGAGTAGATCGTGAGCAAGAAAAAAAAATGAGGTAATAGGTTTAAAATAAAGAAAGCAAAATGATGGACAATTCTCAAGTCCGTTTGAACATTTCTGGTTACTTATTGATTCACTGGTGAAGGCAGTGGGAATGTTTCCCTCAAGGATGAAAGAAAAAGCTGGCTTATAGTTATTTCTCTGTGTGGCTCTAGGAAGGCAGTATTTTCACTTCATGTTTCAAAAAATGAGATGAGACACAGAGACAGCATTTTTTTTCTGTAACCTCACAGTGAAGTAGTCCACTGGATTAACAGTGGGATCCAGGTTCTGTTCCTCAGGGGCCTTTGGGGTGTAGTGGTTGCCCTGGCTAGAAACTGTGGACATTTTGAAGATCTGGTCAATGACCGAGGAAGTGGCTTCAGACCCATGTCTACTCTCACCTGACATTATCCATCCCAGAGAGAAGCTGCTCATCATCACTGCTGTCTTCAGACAGAAAACTATACTTAGTAATTTCAGGATTCAACACATTTGATTCTCCATGGACAAAACAAGAAAACTAGAATACAAGCTCATCAAAGAAGCCTCATACTGGCCACACAAGCATTTATTTCAGTTTTTACTTGCTTTTTATTTAGAAATTGAAGGGCTCTGGTAGAGCCGAGCATGCCAAACATAGCTCTGGCAGGCCTTGCCCTTCCTCTGTTCGCTCTGCCTTGCTAAACTATTAGCTTATATTCCTAAAACCATCTCCCAAGGTCTATTCTCTTATTTGTCCACTTCCTCCTCCTGAGGCTGACCACCAAATCCAGCTATCAAAGCATTGAGGTCTAGCAATCAAAAGCCCCTTTGGCTCATCTAACTAACATGCCCAATTAAAATTAAACACCTCATTCTAACACAGGGTTTCCCCCTTTACCTTTATATGCTGCTATTAGCCTGTCTGCCAAGTCTGTCTCCTCTCTATCCAGAGGTAGCCCTTTGTCCCTTGAGGCAAATATTCCCCCCACCTTGTTTCTTTTCTCCCCCTGTTGGTATACTTTAAAAAATCTCTTTTATTTATATTTATTATATATTTTAATTCCTATTCCACTCCAATCCCTTCCAACACCCAACACCAGGTAGGAGAAAGGATTAGTGGGAGAGGGGGAAGAATTTTTCTTAGTTACTTCCTGCTGGTCAGGGTCAACAGGTTCCTTGGAGTCAGTCCAGTCCTCATTTCAGTAGATCTTCATTTTCTTTTCTTACAACAGTAACTAATAGCAGCAAGGGAGAAGCAGGAGCAGCCTTGTTCTTTTTTCTCCACTCTGGCATTTTTTCTCTCTCCAGAGTCCTCAGATTCAAACTATCTGCAGCTGGCAAAGAGCCCCTCTCAGAGCCCGCATGAGGCATATAGTCTGCTGCTGTGGACCATCTGAGTCAGTCACATTCTACACCTGGGACCAAAACAAAAACATGTTTATAGCCACAACATCCCCCTCTCTCTGTCTCTTGTCTTTGTCCCTTATTCCCAGCACTTTGTCCTTCTGGAGCAAATAAATCTCCTTTATGCTGAGAACGTGGTCTTGGGGAGAGGGGCGCTGTTTTGTGCCAATTCTGGTCCTTTCAGAAATGAGTCTTTCAAGACAAAAGGAGGCCTGTTCTTGCCTAGATTTTATAATCTAGTATTGGAACAGTGATATCACAAATAGTTTGGTAATGTTTTTTTTTTCCCCTCATTTTCCTAGGTATCTCTAAATTTCTTCCAGTCTTGGTTACTTCTCTGGACACATGTGTTTACAAGTTTGAAAACCTCCTACATCATTATAATATGCCCCATGAAGAGTGGTCTGAAATTGACGAAAAAATCAGTGAAATGAAGTTGCAACTGGACATACTGTTAAACATTATTAGTGATGTTGCCCAATACATGAAAACGGATTCTGGCACGTAAGTTTCCAGGCTCTTCTCCTTGGGGAGGATGTTTCTAAAGCAACTTAATGCAATAATTCAGTTTAATTGCACTTATAGATGTGGGCAACTGTAGTAAACTTTAATTAATTTTTCATTCTTCTCAAAAAGAAGCTCTGTATGTCATAGTGAAGTAAGCTTTCTGTTACTGCCATGAAATACCAGTGGCTGGACTCTTTATGCAGAAAAGAAGCTTATTTTTATTTACAGTTTTAGAAGTTGAAAGCTAAATAGCATGGTGCCAACTTCGTTGAGGTGTCAGAACAAATGACATCATGGCAGGAATGCATATAGGAGGGAATCACATGGCAAGCCAGAGGGATCCTGCTCATTCTTTTCCAGCAACCCCTTTTTGTAAGACCTACCCAGAATCCCCTGGGAGTACCCCAGTGACATAATTACCTCCTAGTAAGCCCTACTCCTTAAAAGTTTCATGACCATGTAAAAAGCTAAGCTTCCAAAACATGAACCCTTGGACAAAAAAACAAAGAAAACAACCAAAATATACATCCTATGTAGGCTACATCTTTTCCCTCACTTTCAGCTCTGATCAACACTAATATGCTTTTCATCTCTCTGTATTTCTCCATTATAAACAGTTTGTATGGAAGAAACACTGTCTGCAGAAATAATCACCATCAAATGTAGGCCCACTATCAAAATACAGTAGTATTTAAAAAATCATCTTGTAAGTACCTCACCTTAGGAGAAGGTACTGATAGTGTTGTGTACACTGATTAATAGTTGTTGCTATATTTGGCAGTGGGAAGAAAAAAAAAAACAAGAAAAAAAAACCCATGGTAAGACTAGTATTAGTATTGGAGAGACAGAGAAAAGCTAGAGAAGGAAGACATAGAGGGGAGAACTGTGATGCAGAGGAGGAGAAGGCCATTTTGGCTGAAGGTTGGTTGACAAGAGAAATATGAGGAAGAAATCAGGTACTGATATTCTAAACTCTCAGAAGGCTGAGACACAGAGATGCCGCAGACCACATATCTTGTGTTCTTTGGGAGAGGAAAAGGAAAAAGATTGCTAAGGGTGTCTTAGACATGCTTCTACTTCTGTGAAGAGACACCATGACCACAGCAACTGTTATAAAAGGAAGCATTTAATTGGGGCTGGCTTACAGTTTCAGAGGTTTAGTCTATTATCATCATGGTGGGAAGCATGGCGGCCAGCATGGCACACATGGGGATGGAGAGCTCCATCCTGGTCTGCAGGCAGAGAGGGAGACATTCTGCTTGGCAAGGGAATTTGAAACCTCAAAGCCTACCCCAACGGAGGCACTTCCTCCAATAAAGGCACACCTCCTAATCCTTTCACTGCTTAGTGAAGCATTCAAATGTATGAGCCTGAGGAACTTTTCTTTAATTAAATTGATTGTTTTGTTTAAGAGCATTGCTTTTTTTAAGGCAGTTAAATCAGCTACTAGACCATTTTTAGGCTCTTTTTCTGAATTAAAATTTTCTTTTTTATATTAATTACAGTTTATTCACTTTGTATCCCAGCTGTAGCCTCCTTGCTCATTCTCTCCCCATTCCACCCTCCCTACCTCATTTCCTCCCATTCCCCTCCCCCCAGTCTACTGATAGGGGAGGCCTTCCCCCTCTTCCATCTGACCCTAGCCTATCAGGTCTCATCAGGACTGCCTGCATTGTCTTCCTCTGTGGCCTGGTAAGGCTGCTCCCCCATCGGGGGAGGTGATCAAAGAGCAAGCCACTGAGTTCATGTCAGAGACAGTCCCTGTTCCCCTTACTAGGGTACCCATTTGGATACTGAACTGCCATGGGCTACATCTGTGCAGGGGTTCTAGGTTATCTACATGAATGGTCCTTGGTTGGAGTATCAGTCTCAGAAAAGACTTCTGGGTCCAGATATTTTGGTTCTGTTGCTATTCTTGTGGAGCTCCTGTCCCCTCCAGGTCTTTCTATCTCCCCCTTTCATAAGATTCCCAGCACTTTGCCCAAAGTTTGGCTGTGAGTCTCAGCATCTGCTTTGATACTCTATTGGGTATAGTCTTTCAGAGTCCCACTATGGTAGGCTCCTGTCCCGTTTCCTGTTTTCTCCCTCTTTCAATGTCCATCACATTTGCCTTTCTGAGTGAGGATTGGTCATCTTAGCCAGAGTCGTCCTTCTTGCTTAGCTTCTTTAGGTGTACAGATTTTAGTATGTTTGTTCTATATTATATGTCTAATATCCACTTATAAGTGAGTATATACCATGTGTGTCTTACTGCTTCTTGGATACCTCACTCAGGATGATCTTTTCTAGAACCCATCATTTGCCCACAAATTTCATGATTTCCTTGTTTTTAATTGCTGAGTAATATTCCATTGTATAAATGTACCACAATCTCTGTATACATTCCTCAGTTGAGGGGCATCTGGGTTGTTTCCAGACTATTATGAATAAAACTGCTATGAACATGGTTGAGCAAATGTCCTTGTTGTGTACTTGAGGATATTTTTGGGTATATAGGCATATATCCAGGAGTGGTACAGCTGGATCTTGAGGAAACAATATTCCTAATTGTCTGAGAAAGCACCAGATTGATTTCCAAAGTGCTTGTATAAGTTTACATTTCTACCAGCAATGGAGGACGGTTCCTCTTTCTCCACATCCTTTCCAGCATGTGTTGTCACTTGAGTTTTTGGTCTTAGCCATTCTGATGGGTGTAAAGTGAAATCTCAGGGTCGTTTTGATTTGCATTTCCCTGATGACCAAGGACGTTGAGCATTTCTTTAAGTGTTTCTCTACCATTCGATGTTCCTCTATTGAGAATTCTGTTTAGCTCTGTACCCCATTTTTAATTGGATTACTTGTTTTGTTGTTGTTTAATTCTTGAGTTCTTTATATATTCTGGATATTAGCCCTCTGTCAGATATAAAATCCTTTCCCAGTCTTTAGGCTGTTGTTTTGTTCTGACAACAGTGTCCTTTGCTTTATAGAAGCTTTTCAGTCTCATGAGGTCCCATTTATTGATTGTTGCTCTTAGAGCCTGAGCTGTCGGTGTTCTGTTCAGAAAGTTGTCTCCTGCGTCAATGAGTTCAAGGCTCTTGCCCACTTTTTCTTCTAAGAGGTTTAGTGTGTCTGGTTTTATGTTGAGGTCTTTGATCCACTTGAACTTTAGTTTTGTTCAGGGTGATAAATATGAATCTGTTTGCATTTTTCTACATGTAGACATCCAGTTAGACCAGTACCATTTGTTGAAGATGCTATCTTTTTTTCCATTGTATGGTTTGGCTTCTTTGTCAAAAATCAAGTATCCATAGCTGTGTGGGTTTATTTCTGGTCTTCTATGTGATTCCATTGATCCACCATTTTGTTTCTATGCCAGTACCATGCAGTTTTTATTACTATTGCTCTGTAGTACAGCTTGAGATTAGGGATGGAGATACCTCTAGACGATCTGTTGTTGTACAGGATCGTTTTGGCAATCCTCAGTTTTTTGTTTTTCCAAATGAAGTTGAGAATCGTTCTTTTAAGGTCTGTAAAGAATTGTGTTGGTATTTTGATGGGAATTGCACTGAATCTGTAGATTGCTTTTGGCAGGATAGACATTTTCACAATGTTAATCCTACTGATCCAAGAGCAAGGTAGGCCTTTCCATTTTTTGATATCTTCTTCAATTTCTTACTTCAGAGACTCGAAGTTTTTTTCAAACAGGTCTTTCACTTGCTTGGTTAGAGTCACACCAAGGTACTTTATGTTATTAGTGGCTATTGTGAAGGGTGTTGTTTCCCTAATTTCTTTCTCAGCTCTTTTGTCTTTGGTATACAGGAGTGCTACTGATTTTTTTTTGAGTTAATTTTGTATCCAGCCACTTTGCTGAAGGTGTTTATTAGGAGTTCTCTGGTTGAATTTTGGAGGTCACTCATGTATACTATCCTATTATCTGCAAATAGTGATACTTTGTCTTCTTTCTTTCCAATTTGTATCCCCTTGATCTGCTTTAGTTGTCTTATTGTTCTAGCTAGGACTTCAAGTATTATGTTGAAGAGATACAGAGAGAGTGGGTAGCCTTGCCTTGTCCCTGATTTCAGTGGGCTTGATTTAAGTTTCTCTCCATTTAGTTTGATATAGCAAGCTACAGGCTTGCTGCATATTGTCTTTACTATGTTTAGTTATGTGCCCTGTATCCCTGATCTCTCCAAGACTTTAAACATGAATGGGTGTTGGATTTTGTCAAATGCTTTTTCTGCATCTAAGGAGATGATCATGTGGTTTTTCTCCTTCAGTTTGTTTATATGGTGGATTACATTGATGGATTTCCATATATTCAACCACCCTTGCATACCTGGATTGAAGCGTACTTGGCCATGGTGGATGATTATCTTTTATGTGTTCTTGGATTTGGCTTGGAAGTATTTTATTGAGTATTTTTATTTATTTATTATTATTATTATTTTTTTTTTGCTTCAATGTTCATAAGAGAGATAGGTCTGAAGTTCTCTTTTTTGTTGGGTCTTTGTGTGGTTTAGGTATCAAGGTGACTGTGGCTTCATAGAATGAGTTTGGTAATGTTTCTTCTGTTTCTATTTTGTGGAATAGTTTGAAGAGAATTGGAGTTAGCTCTTCTTTGAAGGTCTGGTAGAATTCTGTGCTGAAACCATTTGGCCTTGGGCTCTTTTTGGAAGGGAGACTTTTGATGACTGCTTCTATTTCCTTGGGGGATATAGGACTATTCAAGCTTTCTACCTGATCTTGACTTAATTTTGGTAGATGGAATCTATCAAGAAAATTGTCCATTTCATTTGCATTTTCAAATTTTGCGGCATATAGGCGTTTGTAGTACAACCTAACGATTCTTTAGATTTCCTCAGTGTCTGTTGTTATGTCCCCCTTTTCATTTCTGATTTTGCTGATTTGTATAGTTTCTCTCTGTCTTTAAGTTTGGCCAAAGGTTTGTCTATCTTGTTGATTTTCTCAAAGAACCAGCTCTTGGTCTCATTGGTTCTTTGAATTGTTTTCTTTGTTTC